GAACAGGAAAAGTTAATTCAAATTTATGAAATAAAATCATTCTGAATATGGAAAACACCGAAAGTAAAGAGACCTTAAAAATCCCAATGGGGGAGAAAAAAAGATGCAACATTAACAAAAAGCTTTGTATATATTTCTTGAATGAACTGGTGAAAGCAAACTGGTGGAAATTGGTACCAGAAAATCATTAAAACCAAAAGTGGTATGCCAAAGTCAGTATCAGACAGATACCTTTAAACTGGATAACTCATTCTTTGAGTTATTAGATAATTAAATTTCTCATTTCTAAAAGATCTGTTTAGTTCTTTCTCAAACTCACCTTTTCAAAAATCATGTGATATGAACTCCTTTGGGCATTATCCATGTATTTATCATCTTTTGTCTCAGACTCTTGACAATGGCCTACCAAACTAGGCATGACAGTAAATGTTAGTTGAAATGAAGAATGTCATTTAGCAACATTACCTTGTAGACACTACGCTCGATTCACTATGTTATATGCTATGACAAGAATCAAATAATGTAGCGGACAGACTACCTTTCCTTAAGGTCATTTTGTTTAAAATAACAAACTGGGGATCGTGAATTCAGAAGCATGTAAAAGCTGATATTTATGCCAAAGCAAGTATAGCGCTTCACATCTGGAGCCCTGTACATGAGAGGACTGAGAACTGTCTCTGAGAGATGCCTGGAGAATTAATCAAAATTAAGTAGAGCATCAAATTTGAAGGGCGGGTATCGGGAGAAATGATGTCGTTTTTAATAACATGTGTTTTAACCAAGGAGTCTATGAAAATCAATTTGGTTCAAGATACATTAAAAATCAGAATGATTATCACGGAATATAGATTTTAAGTTCTAATATACTTATTTCATTAATTATGTTTTGTAGAGGGTTTATAAATAGATCACAAAGTGCTATGCATTATTCCAGTGCAATTTCTTACCAATACTAATCCACTATGCAGTTGTCTTACCTCAAAGTGCTGAAGTTTGATAGTCTTCTTTTTTTCCTTTTTCTTTCTTTTTTTTTTTTGAGACGAAGTCTCGCTCTGTCACCAGGCTGGAGTGCAGTGGCACAGTCTCGGCTCACTGCAACCTCTGCCTCCCGGGTTTAAGTGATTCTCCTGCCTCAGCCTCCCGAGTAACTGGGACTACAGGTGTGCACCACTGTGCCCAGCTAATTTTTTTAATGTTTTTTATATTTTTTAGTAGAGGTGGGGTTTCACCGTGTTGGCCAGGATGGCCTCAATCTCTTGACCTTGAGATCCACTCGCCTCGGCCTCCCAAAGTGCTGAGACTACAGGCATGAGCCATCACGCTCGGTCTTTGATATTCTTCTCAAGCTTATTTTGAGTATATACCTAAAAGAAGCTGGTTGAACCAGGCAGCCTCTGAAAGTCTCTGCTGGCTCTCTAGATGAGTTATAGAGTTTAAAGTTATCTTTAAATTTAAATGTAACTTTCTATTAGTGTCTAATAAAAATGAAAGCCACTTGTGAGTTGTGAGAAATATAAACTAACATTCTATTAAACAACAAAATCAATTTTTTAGAAAAATATTTAAATTGAGTGTTTCACCTAGTGATTTAACTTATGCTTATCTAGAGTAAAAGGACTTCTTTATGAAGTGCAGGGAACACTGGGAGATGTCACTTAAAAACATTAAAGAAGGCTATCATAAAACACAGTATAAAAAGAAATACACCTGGCAATTTTTTTCAAAAAAAAGGTTGGTAAACACAGCTCAAATATGGGAGGACTAGAAAGCAGGTTGCCAGTTTCTGAAAGCCAGCGCAGGGGAAGTAGGGTCCGGCTTCTTACTCAAGATGTCAGCACAGCAGGTGCACAGATGTCGGGCGACTCGGGAGCCAAAGACAGCACATTCCCAGGGATCCCTTTTTCTGGGAGAACCTCACCAGACTGAAGGAGATCTTTCTGAGTCTTCTTCTGAGTCCCAAACAACTAACCACAATAAACATACCCTGTTTATGCGTAGGCTTCAAATTAACTCATAAACAGTTGAGGAAATTCTGAAGTAACTCTCAATCTGTCTTATTGCTTGTATGCTTGAATAAAAATGTCTGGGCATTTTTCCATTCAACATTTGTGTGTAATTAATTCAGCAAATGTTTACTGAGCACTTACTACATGTCGGCTGCCATTCTAGGGGCCGAGGGCACAACAAAATAATAAAACAGTTGAAAACCTCACCCTCTCGGGGCTTTTATATATAAGTAGGTAAAATATATAGTATGTCTGTGGAGTTAAGTGCTACGGAAATAAAAAAAAACAAAGGAGCACAGGAGCTCCGTCATGGTGTTGGTGGGGCCTATTATTTAAATAGGATGATCAGGAAGATCACTGATAAGCGATCTTTGAACAGAGAGTTGAGAGGAGCAATGCAGGCAAGGAGAGATCTTCCAGGTAGAGGGAATTATAACTGTAGAGTCCCTGAGGTGGGATCACACTCAAGGGACTCCTGGCCACGTAAAACCATGGTGCCTGGAGCAAGAGGGATCAGGGCAAGAGGGACTGGATGAAGGCAGGGAACCACATCTGCCGGGGTGAGGGGTTTGGTTTTTACTCGGAGTGAAATAGGAAGCCACAGGAGGGTTTGTTGCAGAGGTAAGGCATGAACCGATGCATGCTTTGAAAAGACCACTGCAGCCTCTACGTTAGCAATTGACTGCAGAAGATTTAGAGGCACAGGCAGGGAACAGTCAGGTGGCTGTTGCAGTGACCCAGGTGAAAGATGATGTCAGAGGTGCTGATTTAGGGGACCTATGGGCTGTCCTCATAACAGGAATGCTATCAGCCCTCCAGCAAACCGTGATAAAATTGTTTTAAATGGATTCTGAAGTGTTCTTGATGTTATGTAAGGTTGAACAAAAGCATTGTCTAGTAGAAAGAATTGCACTCTCCTAGTCTGTCCTTTCCAGAAATTCTGGAGCTGCCACCATTATTTCAGATGATACGCACTTTGAAATCAGTATAGTAGAGGGAAGTGGTTGAGAGTGACTGCGTGTCCAGAGAAGGCTTCTTTGAGGAGATGGCATGTGTGCTGCTACTGAAGGATGAGCAGGACCAGCAGGCAGAGACCAAATCCAGGACAAAGTTTCCAGGGTGAGAATTAGTGTGGTCTGTTGAAGAGCATTTACTCTAGCAAAGGACACAGTAGTACGTGAAGTCAAAGATGTCAGCGAAAGCCATCTCATATAGGGTCTTGTAGATGATAGAGGCGTTTGGACATTGTCACTGTCCAATCATTGTTCTGATGGCAAAGAGCCATCAGGAGGTTTGGAAAAATAGAGTGACAGGAGCTTACTGACATTTTACACATTGGCTGCTGGGTGGAGGATGGTTTCCAAGAAGGAAAAGAATGAACGTGGATTTTTCAGCAGTGTAGCTAAGAGCGTTCATAGTAGCCTAAACTAGTGCAGTAGCAATGGAAATGCGGTGATGTAGACAGATTTGCGATATATATGGAAGGTAGAATTGATAGGACTTGCTGATGTAGACTTGAAGGGAAGAGAATCATCAGGGATAACATCTGGTACTATGGCTTGAGCTACTGGTTCTAATATAAGGAAGACTGGAGGAGCTCAAAGAAATGAGTCAGTGAATAATGCCCTTATGAAATCATTAAACATTAAGGGGTTGAATAATGTTGACTGTCAGTCCTGGATATTTGAAAATACTTATGTAATGAATAGCCTAATTTTAGATAATCAGTTAGAATATGTGAAAATGCCTATTGTTAAATCGGAAGGAGATTTAAAGATTTGTTTTAACCATAACTTTTTTTTTTTTTTTTTGAGACGGAGTTTCGCTCTTGTTACCCAGGCTGGAGTGTGCAATGGCGCGATCTCGGCTCACCGCAACCTCCACCTCCTGGGTTCAGGCAATTCTCCTGCCTCAGCCTCCTGAGTAGCTGTGATTACAGGCACGCGCCACCATGCCCAGCTAATTTTTTGTATTTTTAGTAGAGACGGGGTTTCACCATGTTTACCAGGATAGTCTCGATCTCTTGACCTCGTGATCCACCTGCCTTGGCCTCTCAAAGTGCTGGGATTACAGGCGTGAGCCACCGCGCCCGGCCAACCATAACTTATTTTTAATAAGGACAACTCCATATCATCCCTAAAAATTAATGTGTGTCTTTTGCACAAAAATCCGAGAGAGGAGTATTTATATTCTGATTCATCATTGTACTACATTTACAATCAGGAAAGTCTTCATAATCTCCAATTTTAACTGTATAGCTAAAAAGTACTTTGGTTCTTTGTATAAAGGAAAAACGATTAATTTTTAAAATTTTTAAATTTTTTTATAAAGCTGAAATTGTTGCTAAAACTCTTACTGTAATTTACATAAAGCAATGAGCATTTGTAAACATTTGTATACACACACATATACACACATATACTGACCTTTTTGAGGGTAGGTTAATACTTGGGAGCTTTTCTTCCAGGCAGAGGTTAGGGTGGTATCTTGTAAAGAGGCTTTTGAATTCCAAGCAATTTAGTAGCTGAAGAAAGAATAATTCAATCACCTGACATAAAATCAAGTAAATGGATTCCTTTTTGAAGATATACATACCAGCTTGATTTTTCTCCCAATTAACCTTTTTAGAACTTGGCAATTTGATTATTTTAGGTTAATGCTTCAATTCCAAGTTTAACCCTGAAGAATCTTGATAGATAGATACACGGATATTGAATTTATCCACATCCAAAAATATGATCACTCGATTTCAAATAAGTTTATCATATATAAAATATTTTAAATGACAGATTAATATCTCTCTGTGATTGAAACACAGTGACATCTTTCAAAGTAATATTTAATTCTCCTTTTAAAAATCATTAATTTTGGAAATTTATGACTGAGATGAAAAATATGTTTACAGGCTCATGGTAAATCAGTATTAACAAGTTGCCTCCCTCATTCCCTCTCTCTGTCTCTTTCTCTCTCCTCTCGCGACACACCCGGTGGCAGATGGTACGTGAGCAGTACACTACAGCCACAGAAGGCACCCACATAGAGAGGCCAGAGAATCGGTATGTCTACAAAATTGGCATTTACGGCTGGAGAAAGCGTTGCCTCTACTTGTTTGTTCTTCTTTTACTAATCATCCTCGTTGTGAATCTTGCTCTTACAATTTGGATCCTTAAAGTGATGTGGTTTTCTCCAGTAAGTATCGTTGTTTTCTGGTAAGCATGTTCTTGTTTTGTTCACTATATCGCTTTGTCTATACTGTATTGATAGGAGTTTCCTTTAATGTAATTAACATTTGTTTTTTCTCTGCCCGAATCAGATTTCAGGAACAAAATATATATATGTAGCATTTACATTTTTCCCTTTTCTTTAAACCTCATTGTAAACTATAGTCTGCTGCTTTTGCGTGTTTTTACAGTACATTTTTTTATTAGTCATCTCTACATAGTGGGAATATCGTCATAGTCTTTAGTTTGTGGTTGATTAAGTCAAGATGATTTACTGATTATTTAATTCGTCAGTTTGTAAAACTGTATAAATCAGTTTTCCTAATTTCATTAATTCATAAATATTTACCTAAATGCCACTCTCATTTTTAATTTTTTTATTTACAGAGGTAATCAAGTTATGCTCTTTCATTTTTAAAAAACCCCATGCTGATATACAGTAAATCCATGTACACACTTCAGCATCTGACAACACATTTAGTAACTACAACATCAACAATCTTAAGGAATTCATATTCTATTTTAAACATTCTCGTATTTTAAAGATAGCTACATAGTCTTATATTCTCTGATAACATTTTGTGTACGTTTGAAAAAATGCTTAATGTAGCATGTCTTAATTTTGTGAGGTAGCTACAGTGAGTTAATAATATTGCAGAGAACATCGCAGGCAGGTCAGTCTGTTGCTTACACACATCTGAAGGTGTGATATGTGCACCGGTTCTTTGTAAAAACAATGCTTGAAGTCATTCATTCTGAAACACCTCCTATTATTATAATTCTTCACTTTCCACGCAATTATTTCTGTCCTACGATAGCCAGCAGATACATTATTTTATTGACATCATAAATAAATATTTATGTTTTTACATATGCAAAGAGATAAAATACAAATCAAATCAAAATATAGTTTGAAACTGTTAGTATTTTATATATTAATATAAATGTAATCAATATACGTATATAAGCTTTTATAAATTATATATAAATATAAATATAGAAATACATATGAACAATTATATAAATATATTCAAATTAATCCAATTTAACTTGTGATTTCTTGGTTAAAATTTATAAAATCACTATTTCTACAGCATCACAGTACTATTTAGCTGCACTGGACAAGGTGACTTCATGAAAGTAACACAACTAACAGGATGTACGTTTTTGCACATCATATACATTTTAATATCTAAATGTAAAATATTTGAACATTGTTTGGAAACTGAAGCAGGGCTAAAGTCCTCAAATTACAAACCATGGGATTTTTCAGAGATAACTCTGAATAGAGAGCCCTGCATCAGCCTGCTGTATGTCCCTCAGTTAAGCAGAAGGTTAAGAGAAGCAGAGTCCTGGGAAGGAGGCCCGTGGAAGGGTCCAGGAGTGAGGAGAAGCCACCCATAGCCCAGTACATGCTGAGCAAGGACAGACTTTATCTGGAATGAATGATGTGCATTATTTCTGAAATATGGGTGAATTAATTTTGTAAGCTATGTGACTGTAAAGTGACAATATCTGCTTTATACTCTTGTCACATAGGATCTAAAACAACTTTGAGGTATTATAAGTAAGTTGTGCCAGCAGCTGAATCCACTTCACTGATGGAGAAAGGCTCCCCACAGAGGTCAGCAGACTTTCCTGCCATCACCACAGCTGCCCATTTCCTGCCACTTCTAGTGAGATATGATCATTGACGGTGGCATTTTTTCAGCCTTAGGAACCTGTTGCTAATTGCTAGCAAGTAGTCAGGATTCTTTAGTGCTGCCTTTAACAAAATAAGAAAAACTACCACTAATATTTATGGAATCAAAGGCAAGATACCCAAAGGCACTACCCTACAGAAAATGCCAGGCCTTAATTGGAAGATGCTGGCTAGACTTCAGGTCATTATTCTCAAAGTGGAATGACATAAACGATGTAATTTTCGTAGGTGCATGAGTTTGATCTCTTGCTTTTGTAATTATCTCCTATGTTTTGAAACAGTAAATTGTAAATTAATATATGCTTTAATTCTTACTGATTTGAAAGATTTTATGATCATGTTCTATTTATTTTAAATTTTATTTCAAGAACAATCTACACAAGATCTACCCTCTTAACAGATTTTGATTGTACAATATGATATCGTAAACAATAGGTACAATATTGTACATGCAGATCTTTAAAACTTACTCATCCTGCTTGATTGAAATGTGCAGTCCATTGATTAACAGCATCCATTCTCACTTCCTCAGCCCCTGGTAACCATCATGATACTCTTTGTTCAATGAATTTGCCTACTGTAAATACCTCATACAAGTAGAAGCATGCAATATTTGTCCTTTTGTGCTTATTTCACTTTGCATAATGCCCTCAAGGCTTACCCATGCTGTCTCACACTGCAGAATGTCTTTCTTTTTTAAGGTTGAATAATCTTCTACTATATGGATATACATTTTCTTTATTCATTTGTCCTCTATGGGCATTTACATTTTTTCCACATCTTGATTGGCCACTATACATAGTGCTATGATGAACATGAAAGTGCAGATATCTCTTCCAGTTCCTGATTTCCATTGTTTTGGGTAAACAACAAACTATCTGAAAAGGAAATTAGGAAGGCAATCCCGTTTTCAATAACATCAAAAAAATGCAATATCTAGAAATAAACAACTAAGAAGGTGAAAGTCTTGTACAATGAAACCTACAAAATACTGATGAAAAAATTAAAGACACAAAGAAGAAGACATCCCATGTTCATCAGTCAGAAGACTTAGTATTAATAAAATGTACATGCTACCAAAAGTGATTTATAGATTCAGTGCAATTCCCATCAAAATGCCTATGTTATATTTTTTAAAGAAATAGAAAATTCAAAATTTTTTATTTTTTCATTGTTTTTGTTCTATTTTGGATTGTTTTAAGAAAACAATCCAAAAATATATATTTTGGATTGTTATATTATATTTATATTTTTTCAAAACAATCCAAAAATTTATATAGAACCACAAAAGACCCAAAACAGCCAAGTCAGTCTTGAGAAAGAAGAACAAAGCTAGAGGCATCACGCTTCCTGGTTTTGAAATATATTACAAAGCTATCACAATTTAAATGATATGGTACTTGCATAAAGAACAGCATATAGAGCACTGGAATAGGATAGAGATCCCAGAAAAAAAAAAATCCATGCATGTGTGATCAACTGATCTTTGACAAGGGTGCCAAGAATATCAAATGAGGAAAAGATAGTCTGTTCAACAGGTGCTGGGAAAACTGGATTTTCACATGCAAAAGAATGAATTTGGACCCTTATCTTAAACCATACATAAAATTTAATGCAAAATGGAAGATTTAAACATAAGTACTAAAACTAAAAAAATTCTCAAAGAAAATATTTGGGGGAAAGCTTCATGACATTGGTCTTGGCGATGATTTATTGAATATCAAAAGCACAGGCAACCAAAGCAAAGATAGACAAATGGAATTACATCATACTAAAAAGTCTCTGTGCAGCAAAGAAAATGATCAGCAGAGTGAAAAGGCAACCAACCCATGAGATGGGAGAAGATATTTGCAAACTGGATATCTGACAAGGGGTTAATTTCCAAAATATATAAAGAACTCCTATAACTCAAAAAGACAATCTGATTAAAAAATGGGCAAAACATCTGAATAGACATTTCTTCAAAGAGGACATACAATGGCCAAAGTGTTCAGCATCATAAAGGGAAATACAAATCAAAACCATGGTAAGATACCACCTCACACCTGTCAGGATGGCTATGATCAAAAAACAAAAGTCAACAAATATTGGCAAGGATGTGGGGAAATTGGAACCCTTCCGCACTGTTGGTGAGAATGCAAAACTCACTATGGGAAAATATGTGGAAATTCCTTCAGAAATTAAAAATCAAACTACCATATGATCTAACAATTCTGCTTTTAGGTATTTATCCAAAAGAATAGAAATCATTTTCTTTTTTATTTTATTCATATATAAACCAATGTATTTTCTTGAACATTAACATGCCTAAGATCTAATGTGTCTATACAAGAACTTTTTTGAGTACTTTGACGCTGAAATGGTAAAGTTAAATAGGACTTTGAGCATTTGCAGAGGTCTGCATAATTTTGAACTTGTAACAATTAGCAAATAATTCTTTACCCAAACTCAGTTTAATTGCTTAACTATCACTCACTCAGTTGTTAGTCAGAATATAGGGAAAACCATAATTTTACAAATTAACCAAGTTTAGCATGGCTTTCTCTGTTCAGTTCCTCAAGAGTGTAGCAATGACATCTTTATTATTTTATATATACTGTCATTGCAACACCTCATCATGCTTTAATATTTCACTGTAGAAAACAGTAAAACTAACTGCAAATGTTGTTTTCAACAACGTCAAGGTAACATTAGGAGAGAAAGCCGGTAAAACATCGCAAAATGAACACATAAGGACACCAAAGAATATTGAAAGTTTAAGAGAGAGAGAGAGAAAAGACATGAGCAAAATGTTGACAAGAGAAATAATCTGAATCCAAATAAGGCTGAGCCTGGTTTTATCCACCCAGCTGGGGTTAGAAAGAACCCAAATTCCTAATATCTCACAAATCCAGTTCCACTTTTAGAATTAAAACTTCACTTAAGAGAAATTTACACAATTTCCAGAAAAGAAATCTGTTGAATATAAAGTAATATTTAGGACACTGTAAGAACTGATGCCGAACATAAAGATTCTAAAATATTCCCTGTTAGCCATTATAATAGTTAAATCAGTTAGGAACATGGTTATCAAAACAAATCAGTGTAGTAGAGTGCCTTATTATGCGTTGTTCATGAGTATAAAATAATATACATGGGTCATATCTATATTTTAAAATAAGGTATCTCTAACTTTTTATGACATTGACTTTTTAGAAGATCTTGAGAGTTATCAACCTTTGTTTGCATATAAAATATTTTAGTGCATTTAGTGAATGTAACTTTAGGCTATCATCAAGGTAAGATTAATGATTCTAAACTAACTATATTAACTCTGACGGTTAAATCTTGAAGGCACTTTTATTTGAGAAAAAAGATATAAGTGATCAAGGAAGAATCATAATACTAAATGTTACCACTAAGCTTATAATTCTACAAAATACTTTGTTAATAAGTATTGTTTGTTTTCATTTATTACGGTAATAGGTAACATTGCCCTTTTTAGGAGGTCAGGAAACCCTGATAGATTAAACCTTAACGAGGATTTACAATTAATTCATTTTGGAAACTAGCAATTAGGAATTCTTCATTAAGGACTTTCCCATTAAGAATCTTTCATTTTGCAAGAAAGTAAAGCCTTGCTAGAAAGCCTTTATGGATATTTCCTTAGATAAATGTTTTGTCATTAAGCAGTTAGTGATCATTCATAGGAAGCTAGGAAAATGTTATTAGGTGGCATCTTAATGACATTTACTTCAGCCTTATGATTATATTAATATAATGATTTGGAAAAGATTTGTAAAACGAAATGAAATGCAGATACGCAAGTGACCACAAGCTGTCTGTGAATGCACAATGGTCATGGAAGGTTATTAAAATATCACCCTTGTAGAGGTATTTTCTGAAATCCCATTTGCATTTTATAGACTTTCAACATTATAAAATAGGCTTTGTGTTAGATTATTTTGCCCAACTGCAGATTGATGTAAGGGTTCTAAGTAGATTTAAGGTAGACTAAACCAAGCTGTGTTAGGTGGGTGAGGTGTGGTAAATGCATTTTCAACTCTCTTCATAAATCAAAAAGCATCTATATTGTTTAAGCTGCTAACTTTGTGTTTTGTCATTAAGCAGTTAGTGATCGATCGTTCATTGGAAATTTGTTAGACAGTAATAGAAAACTAGTATAGAAAACTAGTATACTCACACTATACCATGTGAAATCTTTAATTTCTCTTTTGCTGGATATTGATAAAAATAAAACAAAACAGAGAAAAACTCTAAAATTACCTAAATAAGCTTACCTGATGACCCATAATCTTGACCATTTATTAACAGAGAAATGGTTAGCTTTTAATCTTTTACCACTGGATATTGATATATATTTTAAATAACTAGGGAAGCAGCAGTAAGATAATATTTAGCTTGATCTAATTCTGTATGTTTTAACCACTTCCTACTGGGAAATTATTTATGAAATAAATTATTCTTTTCCAAAATATTTTGAAATGAAAAATAATTTCATTTGGAATGAAATTATTGTTTCACTTTAGTAGCAAAAATGTTCTTTGATGCATTAATATGAGTGATCAGTTTCACTCATCATAATTGAGGAAATTAGTGTATATATTGATGTAGTATTATGAAAAAAGTTTATGTTTAAAAGACTCTATCCTTTAGATTTTAGTGACTCATCATTTAGTATGTAATAGATTTCACAATCCATTCATGCCTACTGACTCAGTTTATCCTTCTTCATAATCATCCCATGAGCTTGAGATTGACAGACTACAGCTTTATATATTATTTCAGTGATTTCAAAGCTAAATGTATCGTAGCAGATATCAGGATTCATGAAGATCAGAAGAACGCACTGAGAAGGTGGTACCATGAAGGCAGTACACAGACTTGATGTCCTTGCACCATGTCCCAAAAAAAAGCCCTTTTAGGGTTTTATGGGACCCAATAATCACAAACTATTCCCCATCCAAATTCAAACCCAACTGAAAGGAACAAAAAGAAATCTGGCAGGGAGAGCTTAAAATATCATCTGTGTGATTGGAAGGTACTGGCTTTGATTTGCCCAAACATCTTGCACCCCAGAATTCGAAAGGTGACCCACCAAGTCACAGGCAGCATGGAAAATTCCTGATGCCTGCTGAAGGGGCAAGGACCTGATACTGTGATTCTTCCTGATAGGATTTCCTGTACCCACAGCAGACCCGAAATCCATGGGCAAGTAGATCCCTGGGAAAGTAGAGCCCTAGGAAAGCCTTCACTTCTAACTCTCTCCAGCCACACACATCACTCTCCTGCCTTGGGGTGCAGAGAGTGGCAGTTTCTCTCATGAAATGTCCTTCCTACTTCCCCCACTTAAGTGGTCTCATGTTGGTTTTTCAGTCTGCTAGAGTGACGATAAAAGTCAGAAACTGGGGAGAGGGGGGCAGAAAAGTGGAGAGGAAAGCTTCCACCCCCCTTTTCACCATAGAGATCAAGTGATTATCCCACTTACCTGCGCACCACCTCTGGCTGTTTCAAAGCTCTGCCTGTAGGAATCAGGAAGAGGAAATAACTTCACTGTATTTATCTGATTTTACTTATTATTGAAAATCCATGAGTGGATCTATTTCTATTGCACTGAAAAACAAGAGAAACACACCAGCCTCTTGACCGAAAGCTGGGCACAGTTACCTCTGCAGTCTGGCTCTAAAACCCTCTCCTGTTGCTCATTGGCTTTCAATTCTGCAGACAGTTCTTTCTTGCTTCAGTGTTTTATGCTCTTCCCTCTACCTGGAGCATCCACTCCAACCCAGACACACACAAACACAGTCACATCTGTGTCCCCATCCAATCTCATGTGGAATTGTAATCCCCAGTGTTGGAGGTGCAGGCTGGTGGGAGG